TCGTGAGCTACAGCTCACTTCATCGGATGCATACCGTGGAAACTGCAGAAGACATTATATACACACAGAGACCCTGAAACAATATCTCCTCCCACCCCACTCTCCTGCTGGTAATAGCTTATCTAAAGTGATCATCAAGTTGGGCCGTTTCCAGCACAAATCCAGGTTTTCTCACCCTCTGCCCCCCCCCCCCCACACACAAACTCACTCTCCTGCTGGTAATAGCCCATCCAAAGTGACCACTCTTTTTAAAATGTGTATGATAATCAAGGTGGGCCATTTCCAGCACAAATCCAGGTTTTCTCACCCCCCCACCCCCCTCCAAAAACCACACACACAAACTCACTCTCCTGCTGGTAATAGCTTATCCAAAGTGACCACTCTCCCTACAATGTGCATGATAATGAAGGTGGGCCATTTCCAGCACAAATCCAAGTTTAACCAGAATGTTGGGGGGGGGGGGTTAGAAAAAAACAAGGGGAAATAGGCTACCTTGCATAATGACTTAGCCACTCCCAGTCTCTATTTAAACCTAAATTAATAGTATCCAATTTGCAAATGAATTCCAATTCAGCAGTTTCTCGCTGGAGTCTGGATTTGAAGTTTTTTTGTTGTAAGATAGCGACCTTCATGTCTGTGATTGCGTGACCAGAGAGATTGAAGTGTTCTCCGACTGGTTTATGAATGTTATAATTCTTGACACCTGATTTGTGTCCATTTATTCTTTTACGTAGAGATTGTCCAGTTTGACCAATGTACATGGCAGAGGGGCATTGCTGGCACATGATGGCATATATCACATTGGTGGATGTGCAGGTGAACGAGCCTCTGATAGTGTGGCTGATGTTATTAGGCCCTTTGATGCTGTCCCCAAATAGATATGTGGGCACAATTGGCAACGGGCTTTGTTGCAAGGATAGGTTCCTGGGTTAGTGGTTCTGTTGTGTGGTATGTGGTTGTTGGTGAGTATTTGCTTCAGGTTGGGGGGCTGTCTGTAGGCCTGTCTCCCAAGATTTGTGAGAGTGTTGGGTCATCCTTCAGGATAGGTTGTAGATCCTTAATAATGCGTTGGAGGGGCTTTAGTTGGGGGCTGAAGGTGACGGCTAGTGGCGTTCTGTTATTTTCTTTGTTAGGCCTGTCCTGTAGTAGGTGACTTCTGGGAACTCTTCTGGCTCTATCAGTCTGTTTCTTCACTTCCACAGGAGGGTATTGTAGTTGTAAGAATGCTTGATAGAGATCTTGTGGGTGTTTGTCTCTGTCTGAGGGGTTGGAGCAAATGCGGTTGTATCGCAGAGCTTGGCTGTAGATGATGGATCGTGTGGTGTGGTCAGGGTGAAAGCTGGAGGCATGTAGGTAGGAATAGCGGTCAGTAGGTTTCCGGTATAGGGTGGTGTTTATGTGACCATTGTTTATTAGCACTGTAGTGTCCAGGAAGTGGATCTCTTTGTGGACTGGACCAGGCTGAGGTTGATGGTGGGAAAATAAATTGGTTAGTCTCTAAGGTGCCACAAGTACTCCTTTTCTTTTTGCGCATACAGACTAACACGGCTGTTACTCTGAAACCTGTCATTACAAAACTAGTTGCACCAGAAAGGCCTGACTGCTGGTAAAATTTAAGTAGCTCAGTTGAGGTTTTCAGGGAGATACATGGATTTTCCCCAACGTCAGTGCTTGTCCATAGTCAATTTAGTTCCCACACACTCAGTTTCCCATCCCTTATTTTCCCACCTGGATTGCCTATATTCTCTCAACAACCACAGCCATTTCCAGAATGATTTGATTTTGTTTGTCATAGTTATGCCGAGTCAAATACAACTCTTCTGTGACAGGCAAGGGCAAAGTATTTGGGGGCATGTCAGTGATAATCCACTTTGCAGTAAGTAAGTGAATAAAATGATACAAGTACTCTCATGTGAAGATAAAAGTCTGAAAGGGAGAACTAAACAAAACATTCTTTAGAAGTTAGTCCATGGTTTGGGAGCCAGAAGTTCTGGATTCTATTCCCAGTTCTGTCACTGACTCACTGTAATGCCTTAGGCAAGTTACTTAGGCCTGGATCCAAAGGGATGTAGGCATTGCAGTGCCTAACTTTTAGTCACTAGAAAATAACTGGAAAAACAAGGGTATCCACAAACCTGGGTCTTGGTACCTAGGCTTCCTATACAAGGACTGGGAAGAGATAGGCATCTAAAAGTGGGATTCACAAAAGCTGGCCCACTAGGTGGGGAGTTGCCTAAGCTAGACAATGGGAGATGGTGAAGAGAGGGATGTGTAAGAAGCCCTCCCCCTCTCATAGAGTTAGTGCCAAAGTCCAGGCTGCAGGGAAGTACCTGTCTTTGCTTGCGATCTGCAACCCGGAACCCATCTCTTGGTGCCAGGTCTAAGCTGTTTTTCCAAGAAATGGAGAAGGTGATGCAATCACCTTACTTTTAGCTCAGCGGTCAGCGCACTCACCCAAGAGGTAGGATACCCAGGTTCAATTCCCCACTCTCCCAACAGGAGAGGAGATTTGAACAGGAGGTCTGCCCTGTCACGTGAACATGCCCAAGCTGCTGGGCTTTGGGTTAGTTTGACATGGGTCCCTCTCAATATCTCCTGTTTAAGGTGTTCTACCTTTATGTATTTATCCTAAGTCCTTAGGATGTATTTATCCTTTTGTGGATCTGGGCCTTAAACCCCTCTGTATATTGTCTAGAAGATGGGGATGGTAGACTGGAATGATGAGGGATTTCTGAAACACTTCGAATTAGTGTTTCTGAAACACTTTGAGATTCTCAGATATTGGGAGTATAGCAGTACTGAGTGCAGTAATGAAGGAGGATGCTTGATCTGGTAGTGGGTAGGAATAATTCTGTGGGTATGTTATTAATTATTGAAATCAGGACCAATGGCCTGGAGGAAACCAGAGGAAAGTGGTGAATTGATTATACTACAATAAGTTGAGCTGATGAGTAGCAGCAAGTAGATAGAGTTATTGGAATAATATTCTTTGACGCAGCTGGGATTTGACCCGAGTTTGGATAGCAGAAGCTAGATGAGTAGAAAGATAAGGATCAGGCATGCAAAACCAGTGCTATGAAGGATGATGTTGGAATTGGATATGGGCTAGAGCATTGTAGGAGTTGGATATGGGCTAGAGCATTGTAGGAGGCATTAAGGCTGAAGAAATAAACATTATGATACAAAGTTACAGTCCTGGATTCATGTATTTCTATACTCAAGTTATGGGATAGACCAGTGATCGTATGGATGGGAATGTATCTGGAGGAACAATGAGGAGCAGAGCCAGTGAAGGGGGAGAAGAAAGCAAATAACAGAGATGGAAAGATGTGAGACAAAGAAGAATGTCCCAATGTAACAAAAAATGAAGGGGTATCAAAGAAGAAAACAAAAAGGGCAGATTGATTGGTGCCAGTTTGCTGGCTGTCAGCCTGAGGGAAAATAGCCTGATTCACTGACCAAGAAGAAAGTCAGCATTTGTCAGTCCATCACCAAGAGACAGCCAGATGTCAGACAGCAAGGTAACAGCAAAACAATTACTTTGGTGGCATTCATATCCCTTTGGATGGTGACTAATCTGGATAGTTACATTGCATTACATGTAGTGGATTTAGTTGTTAGCTGTGTAACAGTACAGTGCAATTACAGTTACTTGTCATGGCTGGTATTTACTCTGTGTGATGTGGTTAATTTTTTATTAGTAGTATTATTCTGCTATCTTCTCAGTCTCAGTTTTGAAAACTCTAGCACTGCCCAGTCTTACTCCAAAGAGTACCATCATCCTGAGCTGAAGGATGACAGATGCATATTTTTCTAGTGACAGTCTTGGAGGAGTGGGTGGATACAGTTGCACCTGATTTTAGAAATAAAATGTCAAAAATATATCAGTGTATTACAATAAAGTATAACTTAGCAAATGCAAATTAGCATCTCTAGCAAATGATCTGGTTTTTAAATGGAGAAGTAATTATTATAACAATTCACCCCTGCAAAATTTAAGGAAAACAAACAATGGTGGAACTTGAGTTTAAAGCACAAGTCTCCTTCTACTGTTGTAAAGGAAAGGGGGGAAAGATTAGGAAGTGTTCTATGATGTGCTTCAAGAATTCTGCAGCCACCCATGGGTAGTAGCAAATAATGGAGGGTATAACTCTTCTTATGTCACAAAGACACATGCTGGAGAATTACAAAAAACCCACTTTCCTTTTTCATATAGAATGCTATTAGTATTGTGTTTGCCCAAGTATGGCTAACATGAACAGAGCTCAGAGATTAAATAGACAAGGTTATAATTGGTGTTGCTCTGTGATTGATCAATCCCATTTTACTGAATATTATAAACTGTGAATTATGCATCATTTAAAGATGCTCTTGGCTGTGTAATTTGGTAGATAAATACCTAAATTCAGCTACCTAGAGAAATTTAGAAGACTGATTTTCTCTAAGTATGTTTTCTTTGGCCAATGACAATAACAGAGGCTTTAGGAGAAAGTTAATTAAATTAAATACTGTCAATATAGTATAAAGAGGAATTAATTTGAACCTGATCCAGGGCTTTCATGTAGCTCAGGAAGAAGATTGTGAACTTCAATTAGGAAGTATTTAAACAGTCAGACTTCTGCAACTTTTAGAGCAGGCGCGCAGGGTAAAATTGAGCCCTGTGATGAGGCCAGTTCATGGTCCATGCACCACTTTGAGGGCTTATGTGGTATCTACATCTTGCACTGGCCCAACTCAGCTGCAACTACAGAGTTTTGCATGTTTTTTTATCTCCAACTAGAAATGAAGCCCTGCCCCCTTACAGATCCTTAGTGTGACACCTCTTACCACTGTTCCTTGGAGCTCTTTGGCGGACAGAAGCATCCAGACAGCTGGTTTGCTCCACCCCACCCTTTTGTCATCCCTCTCCAAATCTACAAAAAATCCCTGCATCACAGTAGGTTCCCTAGCTACCTGGTGCATTTTGTAAAGCAAACCCCAGAAAAGGACAAATAGAAACTTCAACAGCAGGCATGGTTCAAGAGGGCCAGCTTGTGCAGATCAAGGAGTGACTGGTTCACATTCTTTTCCAGGTGCAAGGCACACTCCATTGCTGTCAGCCCATTCTCCCAATCATCACGATCTGGTTTCTTGATGTCCTGCAAAAAGATGCAACCGCCCCTCTGGTTCTGCAGCTTCATGAGTTTTTCAGCATGCTCACGCTCCTCGTGGGACTGGTGCAGGAAATACTTGGCAAAGTTCTTTAGAGCCACATCATCCCGGTCAAAATAGAAAGACATGCTGAGGTACACGTAGGAGGCGTAGAGCTCCAGGCGGCTGCTTTGGGGGCTTCCCCAAAGAGCGGAAATGTTTTTTGTGCTCACTGGGACTGTATAAGGGCAACACACTATGTTGCCTTACAACAAGTGCAAGTATTACATACATTTTTTTAAATGGTAGCACAGGTAATTTTCCTCAAAGTGGCATTTGAAACACCAGCCTCCAGTTAACCCTAACCACCCATCATTTCTTTCTGTTCTAATGCCAACTTCTCTAATATCTTAGAATCATTCCAGTTTATAAGAAAATTATGTACTTGCATTTGAAATTAGTACTAAAGGAAGGCAACTGTTTTCCTATAGTAATATTTCTTAGCCTGTAACATTCACTAATTGTTTTTTATGATTATCCCCGTTTTACTGAGATCAGAGTCAATTAATTAGTTCTTATTTAGATTGTGAGCTCATCAGGGCAGGGACTGTCTTGCCATTATGTGTCTGTACAATGGGGACCTGATTCATGACTGGGGTCTCTAGACACTACCATAATACCAATAATAATAATAATAATAGTGCAAGGCCATAGAATTAGTCAACGTGAGAGCTGAAATTAGAACTCAGGAGTGCCTGGCATAAACTCAATCCCCCAGACAATCCCTCTCTCAGAATGAACTCATACTGTTCCATATTCTCTCTTAAACTGATAGAACTATTAGGGTAACAGACGACAGTATTCTGCATATACCATTTGGCTCAATGTGAGTGGAAAAAGAAATAAGACCGTGCAATCGGTGTTTGGACTAAGGAGAAAAATGACTGGTGCACTGTCTTCTGTTACATGGCGGGCTAACTTAAGGATCATTGGTGTTTAACATAAATACATTTTGTTGCTGGACCCTAAAGCAACCCTTTTCCAATTGTTCTATGTAGTGGCTGATATGGTAAGCACTCTTTATTTTACTGTATAGATAGTCAATTGGAGCTGCTGTTGAAAGCTCCTGTGTAAACTGAGGCTTTTTTTCCCTCCAAATCTGCTTTTATACCCCCTGGAATAAGTGGAAATTATTTATTAAATCTACAAGCAACCCTTAAGCTGACCCAGTTTTTGACCTTCACAGTGATAGAGTAAAAAGTAAAGGAGTACTTGTGGCACCTTAGAGACTAACCAATTTATTTGAGCATAAGTTTTCGTGAGCTACAGCTCACTGTAGCTCACAAAAACTTATGCTCAAATAAATTGGTTAGTCTCTAAGGTGCCACAAGTACTCCTTTTTGCGAATACAGACTAACATGGCTGTTACTCTGAAACCAGTGATAGAGTAGTTAATGCAGAAGTTGCCAATGACGGGTGTATTTCTAGGAGGGTAGGTGGGGAATTTAGCCTCATGTCTCCCATTTACATTAACTGTGTGACTAACTCTCTACATTCTGTGGTCCAAATGCGCCCCCCTTAAGATTGTATGTGAGAAGGCAGAGAGTGCAATATGTAACTCAAGCACAGCTCTTGTATTTAAAAGGGTGTGTGTATGAGAATCTGAGGACAGAATGTTCCCCATCCAAACAACATTTCTGGGGTCCAGAACTGGATTCTATATACCATCCTTGCAGCACGTATAGAGGTTATAATTAGCCTGGGGAGAATTCCTTCAGCACAAAAGCAGCATAAGGCAGTAAGTGATCCCTACACCACCGTCTATTTCTGAGGGGGATGGGAACAAGGTGGGAAGGGGCATGGCCAGAGTGCTAAGCATTGCAGGGATAACTTAGAGCAGCCCTTGGGTCCTTCATGCCACCTGGGTGCTGCTATAATTCAGAGTAACCTTTCCAGAATCTAGTGGGTATAAGCTCCCTTTGCTCCTGCTCTGAGCTGAAATGCTCAGGAGAACACCACTGGATCTGCCCCTGGCATTCTGGTATTTTAGAGCCAACCCATCTTATAAGGAGATGAGCACCATCAGCATTCTGCAGGATCAGGCCCTTAAAGAGGAAATCCTAGCAGAGAGAGAGGAAAAAAAAAAGTTGAACTGAACAAAAATTCCTTAGAGTTACAGGTCCAGATCCTCAGCTGCTGTAAGTTGGCATAGTTCTACTGACCTAAAAAATAAGTGATAGGGCCTGATTATGCACTCACTTAAACTGGTCTAAATAAAGAACAATGTAACTGAAATAAGGAATAACTTAACTGAAGTCAGATTCACACACTTGTAAAAACTTGTCAGCGGAAACAGTGCAGTGATAAACCCATTAAAAGAATATAGCTCCTATGTCCCACCAAGCACCACATTATAGATAAAATATTCAGCAATATTGTGAAGTTCTCTTAACCTGATAAGAGAACAAACCAGTTACAGGAACAAGGGTCCAGTGCATCAAAGTAGAATAAGATTAAATAAAACCTGCTCAGTAGGAATAGATGTGCACTTTTGAATATTTCCTGAGCATCTAATTAAAATGCACCACCAAATTGAGCCTATTTTTATTATTACTAATAATAAGAGATAAATCACAGTATTAAAATACTTTTGCACAAAGGTTAGGAATTAAAAATACTTCTGCTGTACTTAAGTTTTAAAGAGCACCAGATGGTTTAATTAACTCTGCTATATGTGGACCAACTAATTATGATTTTTTATTTGTTCCATTATGAAGACATGCTATATTTAAATATGCGTCAATTATGACTAAGACTATAAGGGCTTTGTGATGGGGTAGGCAGACCCTGCCTTGGAGTTGGCAGGAGAAAGGTTAGTATTGTTTACCCAGAAAGGGCCACAGCTGCTTCCACTGTTTACAAAGACATGCAGGAGGGAACGGGCCCTTTCTTCATTCTTTATAAAAAGTGCAGTTCCTGTAAAATGCAGGAGCGGAATGAGGTACAGGGGTCCTGTCCTATAAGACTTGATGAAGAATTAGTTTGATCTCTTGTTCCAGGATCCTTTTGAACCTACAGGGGGCAGTATGGGAGAGGCAGCCTAATACTGATTATCAAATATGTTATACTGATTACTGTTATTCTATTTTCTGTGTGGGGAAACAATCTAGAGTCAGACTGGAAACTAGATGGGAGAACTAGGCCTTTGTTCTTGTTTTTACCTGGTCTAGACAAGTACCAGTACAAAAGAAAGAAATGAGAAACAGCCAGGGACTGTCCATAAGTTGCATAACACATTTTTGGTGATTTTTCAAGACCCTTTCTAACACTGAGACAAACATGCAAAATTAGGGACCTACCCACCCCCAATGTGTTATGTAATTTTTGGACAGTCCCCAACCTAACAACTGGGACAGCTGTGCTCTAGAGACCCCAATAATGCAGCAGAGACTCCAGAACAAAATGAAGGGATCACTACTTTAAGATAATCAGAAACAGACCCCCATTTGGCCTTCAAAAGGAGGCAAAGGCAGACCCAGGGGTACATCATAGCTAAGAAGCCTGGCCTGACCTACATCAGGCAGCTTACGTCAGGGAAAAATATGCTGTCACACTCAACCAGTGGTCCTGCAGAGATTGGTCCTTGAGATTCTGAAGGTGTTATATAGTACCATGGCTGGGGGACACTTAGGAGCAGAAGAACTTTCCCAAAAGGCTCAAAGTCAGTACTGCTGGTGTGGTTGGGACTGGTCTGTTAGGGACTTGGTAAAGTCATGCTATACCCCCTTTGGAGTTTGCTATCTCCTGGAACACTGAACTGGGCCTGTAGGAGCTGAGCCTCTGGACTACAGCAGCAATGACTCCAGAGACCCCAGACACCATTTCCCAGGATGTTTAAGGTCTGGGGCAGGGACAGAACAGGTTGCAAAAATGAAGGGTTAAAATCCATTGCTGATGTAATAACCTGGTATATGGATTTGTGTACAGGCCCAAAGTCCCACGTTTGGTCAAGAGGTCAGAGGCCTAACAAATAGTGATTAGCTAAGAGAAAGCAGAATAACCAAAGATAACCTTGCTTTTGCTAAGATATGCCTGGTCAGCAAAACGCCAGATGTTGGGGGCAATAATTGTGTCTTATTCAAAGTTGCAAATAGAACAATGAAGCCCTGTTTCTGTTGTGTTAGTTTCTTCTGTAGGGAGATGATCTTCCCACACATCCAACCTTGAGTTTATGAAAGGTTCAAGCATGTCAGTGTAAGATATGGCCTCCTCCCACCTCCCTTTCCCAGGGACCAATGCCTGCCTTAAAACACAAATGAACAACTTGAAAGACAATCTTATTGCCATATACGTTCACTGTTTCTTTGCTTTTACCCCTAGATATGTATCTGTTGGACAATCAAAGGAGGTACTTCATTCCTATGGACCCCAAATCAGAATTCAACATATATTTTTTATACTAATACATTTATTAAAGTACTAATTATATATTAAATGTTAATTTGTTAACTTGAGACCATGGGCAGAGACATTATGTAACCTTTGACCATTGGCTACTGTGGTCTCATGTCTTGATGCTAGACCTATCTGGGGTTGTGGGACTACCAACCCCATCACTTTCCCCCGCCCATGGAAAATCCATATATTCCATTGTAATCAATTGATTAACAGTGTCTCTGAGCCTAATAAGCAAGATGACACTCCATTAGCGCTGTACATAATAAACTCCTATGCTTGACCTCTACATGGTGTGGATTTATATCCTTCAAAAAGCCAGAGAGGAGCTCCAGATGGAGTGATTTATAGAGACAGTTTGTTGGGCCAATTAGGAGCCAGGAGGGGACAAGCTGCTTCAGAGACAAAGGTATTAATTGTGGTTTCACTTGTGGGCTGCTGTTTGAGTTTGGAGGTGACTCAGGGAAAAGCACCATGGCCTGGGGAGTCTCTGATTAACTCCCACTCCTCACAAAGGGAAACTTTGATCTGTTGTGCAATCTAGTGTGTGGCTGGATGGTTCCAGCTCTGTGGACACTAGCAATCAGGGAGACAGAGAACTAACTCAGTGCCAGCTACCAGGAGTTAGCCAAGACCTCCATTGGACTCCATAGCAGGGAACCAAGGGAGGACTCTGCCCCACTCATGGTTAAGACATGATAAGAGAACCCATTTATTTTTGTTTAAGCCAGCCAGCATTCAGAGTGTTGCAGCACTTGTCTCAGGTCTTATCCTCTGCATGCCAGCTACCTGGACCCATTGTGCAGAGGGATCTGGGAAGTTGTGTAAAATGGTGAACATGGGGGGGGGGGTATTTGTTATATTGTTGATGTATTAGTATTTTAATTCATCTTAATCCTGTCCTTTCCTAAAGCCTTTGTTTCCTGTCCCCAGTAAAATCCTTTGTGTTATACCATTCTTTTTTAATCTGGCATTGGGGCTTGTCTTAATATATTGTTCATCTACAAGGTTATATTCCTTGTGAATGCAGTGGTAGTATTAGTTACTTCCCAATGACGAACACCCCTTGTGGCCCAAGCACAGAGAGGAGTCACCTTGGGTGGAGGCACCAGGTGCCAAAATAAAGAACCCAGGACTCAAGATATGTGAAGAGGGGGAGAAGCCACTCTGATTAGCAAACAATAGGGCAGAGACTGGAACCGTGCCTCAGGGGAGGGACTACAACTCTGTGGCTCAGATGATAGTACACCCAGATCACCTATTCTGCTAATGTTCGAGTGTAGCTACAGATATACTGCTACTTCTACCTGTCACTGAGAGGGGCAACTGGCACATGCTTGTCGTAGCAGATTTATTTTCCAAGTGGTTCCACAGCCCAGTCAAAAAACAAACAAACAAACAAACAAAAAACCAAATTATTAGTGCCCATTCAAGAAGTACAAACTATTTGTTGAGCTGTTTGCTTACCACTGTGGTACACCGTAATCTGTGCTCACTGATCAGGGGTAAAACTTTGAGTTTCAGTTCTTCCAAAAGGTTTGGGCTCTGCTTGAGATAAATCAGATCAGTACTGCACCTTACCAGTCACTGTCAGATGGATTTGTGAGGCATCTGAACCATACACTGAAGGGACCGAGGAGCACCATTTAAAGTGGGGACAGGGATAGATTCATCACCACCCCGAACACCTGACCCGCCTCTTCCCATCTCAGGAACCCAAGTCAGAGCCCAATCAGCCTGACCCGCCCTGGCCCATGAGCCCGTACTCCTTGCATCTGAGGGAGTGGTATTGTGATCTTGTGTATGGATTTGCAGTGTCACTCAGTTTTGGCCCAGCCACACCTTGGTTGGACCATGGCCCGGGTGCCCCACCTCTGAAGCATATGCACTGAATGCTAATAGTGTCATCTTTTTTAGGTGTCTGTCAATGGCTTGCCATGATGTTCTGTAGATCTAGTGTTGAGTCATCCATGGGGTGTATGCCATACATGGTGAAACTTGGGTATAACAGCATGATGGAAGAGTTGCTGGAGGAGGAAGATGTTTTAGAGGGATACACTCATCCCATAGAGTACCCAATACAATTCCCAGGCCAGTTTAAGGGCATCTACAGTGTGGTCAGTCAGGTGGCTGAAATACTTTATGAACAAGCGGATTTTGAATAGCTTTGTCCTAAATTATAATAGGCTAAAATCTACCTGTAAATTGAGCCAACCCATGGTATGGCCAACATGAAACAGGAGAATCAGGGTAATAATTGAGAAGGAAAGGAAGAGATTGGCAGTGGTCAGTGTGTTCTGTGTATCAAATCTAAACATCCCACACAAAACCAAGTCTTTTCTGATTAGAAATGAGATTCAGGATTAAAATTTGTAATGATCTGTTAATATTTCTGCCATACCATAGTTTTTAAAAGAACCAGCTGGTTTAACTATTTCTACTGTATATGGACAAAGTAACAATGATTGTGTAAAATTATTGTATTTAAGAGATACTTCAAAATCATAAGAGCTCTATTACATGTATTTTGTGTAGTGCATATGTTGTACAGTGTACCTTCAGTTTTATATGTAGCGAACAGAGGACCACAAACAGGGGAGTTTGAAAGTGGGTGAAGAAGATCCCCCTGCTGAACTAACAAGATGCGAGTACTAGTGTTGCGGTGAGTGACTTTGTTTAGCTGTTTGTGTTTTTCTTTTTCTTTCAGGTTATTTCACTTACAGGGTCAATTGGGATTGCGTGATTGGGGACAGTTTGAGCCTTTGTTTCCTTGACCAGCTTCAATCAGCCTTGTGATCACCCTCCCGCTGTGTGATTAATGAGGGGGTAGAGCTGACCTAGGAAGGAAGGCTTTAAAGGCCAGAGGCTAAGTGACCAAGGGGAGCTAGCAAACAGGGGAGTTTTTAGGAGGGAGTCATAATATTATCGTTATGGTTAGGAAGGGCCACATCACCAGTGCCAACACAGCTCCTGTCTCCTCCACCTGCGCCTGTATCCAGACAGAGAACCTAACCAGGGATGCCTCCACACAAATCCTGGTGTGGATATGCAGAGACTGTGGCCTTCATTTCCCACTCTCAAAAAGCCAGGCTGGGGGGACCATCCAGTGTGACAGGTGCCTGCTGGTGGAATCTCTCAGGAAGCAGGTGGGAGAGCTACAGAAGGAGGTGGCTAGGCTGAGGAGCATCCATGAACATGAGAAATTCATTCACAGTATTCATATGGAGACTTCCAAGTCTGAGGAATCTATCCAGCTAGAGAGGACTGCTATCATGCCACCAGGGAAGGAGGATAAGGCTCTAGTACAGGGAGGACACTGGCTGCTGGTTACTTCTGGCAGCAGTCAGTGCTCCACCCCTACTTCCAACCCACCCACCATGGTGATGGAGAACCATTATGCTGCCCTGGCAACGAGCGATGAGGAATCACCCCCAAAGGTTGAAGAGGAGAAGCAATGTATCCCCAAGGCTGGGAGGATCACAGCCACCACTCCCAGGAGGAAACATAGGATAGTGGTGGTTGGAGACTCTCTTCTGAGGGGGATGGAGGCACCCATCTGTCACCCTGATATGGCATCCCAGGAGGTATGCTGCCTGCCAGGGGCCCATATCTGAGATGTTACTGAGGGTTTTTTGACGATCATCTGGACCTCTGACTACCCCATGCTACTCATTCATGTGGGCACTAATGATACTGCACGGTATGACCCTCAGCAGATCAGAAGTGACTGCAGGGCTCTGGGAGTAAGGGTGATGGAGTTGGGAGTGAAGGTGGTGTTCTCTTCAGTCCTTCCAGTCAGGGGTAGGGGCCTCAGCAGAGACAGTCTCATCCTGGAGGTGAATGCCTGGCTGCTAGGATGGTTTAGCCAGTAGGGCTTCGGCTTCCTTGACAATGGGATGCTGTTCCAGGAAGAAGGACTGCTAAACAGAGATGGAGTACACTTATCAAGGAAGGGGAAGAGCATATTTGGCTACAGCCTGGCTAACCTAGTGAGGAGGGCTTTAAACTAGGTTTGACGGGGGCCAGGTGACCAAAGTCCACAGGTAAGTAAAAAACATGGAGACCTGGGAGAAGGGTTGGAACCTGCGGGGAGCATGGGCTGTTATAGCAGAAATAAGGGAGAGACAAGACAGAACTGCGGGGGGGGGGGAAATCAAGTCAGTATCTTAGATGTCTATATACTAATGCGAGAAGTATGGGGAATAAGCAGGAAGAACTTGAAATGCTAGTAAATAAACAAACTATGACATAGTTGGCATCACAGAGACTTGGTGGGATAATACGCATGACTGGAATACTGGTATAGAAGGATACAGCTTGCTCAGGAAGGACAGGCAGGGAAAAAAGGGAGGAGATGTTGCCTTATATATTAAAAATGTATACACTTGGACTGAGGTTGAGATGGAAATAGGAGACAGACTTGTTGA